GTTTGACCCGTGTCAAAGGTTGGGGGTGGCTGACGATTCGGGAGGTGGCTGCGGGTTGACGAAAGGGAAAAGCGCATCGGAGACGGACTTTGAATTCGGAGATCCTGTGTCTTTAACAAGATAATCACCGTATACCGACATATGTTGAACGTTTAAAAAACCCATACACTTTACAGGGAAAACTTGCCTGCATGACAAAGTGTTCACCGAATGCAGAAAGTTCCTCCGTAAATTCTGTCCGGTACCCACAAAAGTATTTCAATTTAGAAAAACATCGACTACCTTTGAGAAAAGTCTTTATTCTATTTAAGTAAGCCATTTTACCTTCCTTTCTTTTTTTTTTCTTTTTCTATCTTCTCTAAGCCCCAACAGCTAGTGGTAGAGCTAATTCTGTTCTGAAGTATGTAACAACAGCTTGTGGTAGAGCTAATTCTGTTCTGAAGTATGTAACAACAGCTAGTGGTAGAGCTAATTCTGTAATGTCGTATGTAACAACAGCTAGTGGTAATTCTGTTCTGAAGTATGTAACAACAGCTAGTGGTAATTATGTTCTGAAATATGTAACAACAGCTAGTGGTAGAGCTAATTCTGTTCTGAAGTATGTAACAACAGCTAGTGGTAATTCTGTTCTGAAGTATGTAACAACAGCTAGTGGTAATTATGTTCTGAAATATGTAACAACAGCTAGTGGTAGAGCTAATTCTGTTCTGAAGTATGTAACAACAGCTAGTGGTAGAGCTAATTCTGTAATGTCGTATGTAACAACAGCTAGTGGTAATTCTGTTCTGAAGTATGTAACAACAGCTAGTGGTAATTCTGTTCTGAAGTATGTAACAACAGCTAGTGGTAGAGCTAATTCTGTTCTGAAGTATGTTCGCTGTCTCAAAAAGTCTCACTGTGTCACAACACAGTGGGATCAGGCGCTCGTCAGTATTTTGGCATAGTATGGAGTTATTGGTATTATCTCAAAGCTCGTTTATTTGTCTTGTTATTCTTTTGGGAAAGTTCCACCTGTCTCAATTAGAAGTTAAGATATTTGCGAGTGAAGGTGGGGGTCTCTTGGTGTCATAGGAAAAATTCACGAGGAAATGGTCGGCAAAGTTGACCTCTAAATTTTGAGTGTCTTTGGAAACTGCAAATGTACTTTTTTGTGCCTTTGATCAATGTTGTTTTTTTAAAATCCACCCACAGATGTAATGTGTTTTGAAATATATTACATAAAAGATGTTCAGTCAAAGACAAAAATCAAACCAAAAATGTTTTTTAAAAACCCAACGAGCAGAAAATGATGAGCGCCTGATTTCAACTCGATGCTGTACAATTTCTCTATAGATCTACATGTATCTATTTTTCTAGGTGGGCGGGGGTGCTTTATACGTGTGTGAAATACATAATGTATGCAATGTATTCTGTAAAACTGGGAAATCAATGCAGGGGTGATCGATCAACTGATTGATTTGTTGGAGAGAAGAAATTACAGGGACATGGGGAGTGAAAGAAGAGAGGAATTGTAGAGGGTGGGGGAGGAAATGAAAAGGTATTGGAATGAATTATACAACAAAACAAATCAAGAATATAATATATAATAGTATATAGATCTAAATACAATATAAAAATATTGATAAGTATTGATTATAATTAACACGTGTTGTAAGTAACGAGATAATGCCCAATGTTTTCCTTCCATTATCTGTAACAACCGCCATCCATCATGAGCTCATCGGGCTGTCATTTTGTCTTACCCATGACTTACTTGCTCAATACAGATTGCAGGAAAAACTCATATAATTACATTTTGATTGATAATGAAGAAGAAATTAATGTGAACGAAATTAATAAGTATATATACGTAAAGATAATGATCTGTCACACCTTAATTAACTAACACATAATATACTTGCAAGCACAGAGAGAGAGGCTAGATTGTGCTCCGCTAAAAGCAACTTTCTCACTCAAGAATCAAACTCGTGTGTAGGCCTAGTGTTAGCAGAGGCGAGGTGTCTATAATAACAGTTATACCACGGGCACAGACAAACGGGAAAAGTGAGATCAAGACACAACACGCAAAACTGAACATGTTAACAACACTCTCCCCCCCTCCCCCACCCCCCGAAAAAACACAACTTAAATACCTCCAAATAAAACGAACCGGACCACCACCCACCCTCACCTCACATACCCAACCACCACCCACCCTCACCTCACATACCCAACCACCACCCACCCTCACCTCACATACCCAACCACCACTCACCCTCACCTCACATACCCAACCACCACTCACCCTCACCTCACATACCCAACCACCACTCACCCTCACCTCACATA